TTTTCTTTGGGGGGGAAATTTTTAGATTCTTTATACCTACTTATAGTAGTGATAAAAAGTGTCGTTATAAAATAGTATTTCTGTTTACGCATATAAGAATAGCATTCTTTTATCATTACTGAACAAACTGTTTTATTTATTAAGGTAGATTTTTTTACAGCAAGTGATAAAATGATTCGGTGAATTACGGACTACATATTTTTTTATTTTTCTATGTGTAACAACACTTTATCTTTCATAGATAAAACCAAACAATAAAATGCTCATAAATTGTTCTAATTATTAACCCCTTTAAATCTTCTAATTTATAGCAGCAGGTAAACACCTTTGACTACTAATTTATACCATTCTTTTGAAGACAAATTTAAATTAGGAGGTCTTCAAGGTTCAATAGGTAAAAATTTAAATATAATTTGCACCTTATAAAAAAATTAACTTAAAATCTGACAGATAATGTTTTCTGTTTGTAGAAAATAACAAAGTATATTTACATGTTGCAATGTCTACTTGTCCGTTTAAGTGTAATCAATTTTTTAGTTTACGACATAAGGAATTAATTAACAGATATTATTATAATGAATAAATTACGTACAGTACGATAGTTTAAAGTCTCAATTTTTATTTGTTGTATAATCCAAAAAAGACTAGAAAAATAGATAAATTTCCTTTATATAGTAGTAGATTGTTACTGAAATATAAAAGAAGCTATGAAAATTTAGAAAATGTCTGGCATCAGTCTCAAATTAATTTCAAAATTGGTGTCAAATAAATAACAGCAGTTAATGTGAACATCAAAAGAAGATAGCAACATCGTCGAAATAATAAAATCATTGATACCTAAATGTTTAATAGGAGAAATTTTCTAACGAAGAAATCATTGATTTACATACGTTCCAAATTTTTAAAGATGACGACGTCTAAATTAATACAATCGGTTAGTTTATGGGAAAAGATCATAATATTTATTCAAATGGGCACGCTAGATTCAACAGAGTTGGCATTTAAAAATTAAGTGATTCAATGATGTCTAATTAGTCGGTTTAAAATGCTAATAGCTTCGATTTAACTTATGATACTGAACACATAACGAATATTGTAATAAATTACTAACAACTTCCTAATCTACCAGGGAACATGGTAACTTTCGTTATTTATTACGTTACAGATTCTATAAACAGTAGTAATACAGTTTCATCCAAGATTCCGAACAGAGGAGGAAGATTAATTTCCTCTAAATGTAACTTGTGTACTGGTTATTTCAATCATGTAATTATTACTATTTATATACATGGAAAGATTTAAACGTTTTCATTGACGACTCAAGGATTTCATACACAAGGGATTACACCGATTAAATTAAATTAAACGAAAAATCATTACTTCGACAGTATGAGCATAGATGTAGAAATTTGGGTTAATATGTAACGTAAAACAATTATCAAGGGTTACCAAAAGTTTAACTGTATCAACGTGTTTTTAAATAAAGGTGTCCCTTGGTCAGGTATGAATGGATGGATACCTGTACCTATCTTTTCACAAGAATTTGCTGTTAATCGCATATTTATGGTTATTGCAATATAAAAGTGTGCAACGTTATTAGGAGATACCGAAGCGATGGTACCAATTTTATAACAGCTCAATAAAGGTGCTATGCTTTCTCGTGATGGTTCTGAAATATTTTTAGTATTGCCGGCAAATTTCGAAGAATTTTATTGCAAGTTTTTAGCAGAGGTATAAGCAAGGATTATAAAACTTGGCTTATTTGAATACGAGTCCTTCTGATTTTAAAGTGATTGTGTTGAGATGCGAAAAGGCCGACAGGTAGGTACGTACATTGGGATTTTCCTAGTTATTATTACACAGGAACATGAACCAAGCCCACGAAAAAATTTTCAACAAACTCCACCGTACCAAATACATAAGAAAATAATCTTAAATACTGATTATATAACAAAAACTTTAATTTTACTGTAGATTCTTGTACAAGAACTTAATTACTATAGTGGATACACTTTTTATACACAAAAAAACTCTATACTTTATGACTCTGCCGTTATCATCATTACCACAGGGTTGTCAGTCCTAAAACTGGTTGGATACACAATATTTCTGTTCTGAGCTAATCGTCGCATTTTTCTAAAAATTGGAATATTCCTCAACTATTCGTTGTTGACTCCTCCACTCCTCTGAATTCCTGATTCTGTTTCTACTATGTGTCTTACTAGTCCATGTCTAATCTATCTGGCCAATTTTTTGACTTGCCCTCCATAGCGCCCTCTGTTCTACTACCCTTTCTAATACCACCTCATTTCTTTATCCACGGTATCCTCATCATGGAATGATGGATTGAACAATGGTCTTTCGTTCTTTTAAACTCCGATGGGTTTAAATTGGTTTGATGAGGAAAACATTACGGTTTAAATTTAAACTATAACATCGGCTCATCATCGTTTTTCATCACATTAAGCGTCGTCCTCCATATTGACATGAGTGTGGTGTATCTGTTGGTCCGCGACGGCGAAGATGCCACCGTGACGTGTTTATGATGGCAGCCGTTGACATACAGACTTCGTTAATGACCGCGCAAACGAGGTGCTCTCTGACGTATGCGTCCTCTCGATGATTGAATTAATAGCGTCGTTTACTTGTCGTACAAGAGATAAACGACACAACTAAACGCATAACTTTAACTTTAACGGTTGTTTTTCCGTCTTCTCCTCTGTATATTCACAACTATTTGATCGCGAGGGGTTATCGGCTATAAATGTCCCTACATAAAAATAAATTTTCATTCCTATGTCATTAATCTTCGTCCTTTTCTTCTTCTTTATCGCCCTTTTCGTCGTCCTTCTAGGATAGGCATTTTCGTTTAAACTGTAATAACGTAGACAAAGTTAGGTTCCATTGGAAAGAAATGGAGATTATGCTTTCCATTCTAACAGAATCAGTCAGTTTCAGTATGGCTTCGCCATATTTCTTGGGAATGGCAACTTTTCTAGCACAAATTATAATTTCTCTGTTGCTTCTTCCTTTTTCCGACTAGAATTCTGGGAGGTAGGGTCCCCCAGTCCCTAGGAGGACATATACCACACTGCCTTGCGTGGATCTTATGAGGCTTTCCTATATGGCACACAGACGATATCACTATGGACTCTACATGTGGCCTTCATGAGGAAATTGATCGCTACCCGCCGAAAAGGAAATTTGAGTGAATCAATCGGATTATACCAGCTGATAATATTCATATATTGCTTACTAGCAGATGACTACAAACTAAGAAGAGTTCCAATATTTGGTGTTTGCCTAATCGAATCGCCAAACGGTGGGATTGCCAACTACTTCTTTGAAGAAGTTTAGACCATTGCTTAATACCCGGTTGATCCCGGATGAGTCTGTCCCGATCCATGTTTTCTTGTGGTGTCTTGGATCACCACTTAAGCAAATGCTGGGGCAGTAATATTCCACAGAAAATCTTTCACTCCTTTCTGCCTTCAATTCGTTCGTCTTACCTTTCATCCCAATCACCACTCACCCCATTCCCACGATTCCTAAAAGAAAGGGGTCTTCGCCCCCATCTTCTGGCATAGTTTCCCTTAGAGATGTATCGTAAATCTTCATCCCTGTCTTTGTTTGTTGACCCTTTCATCCGTTTCAATCAAATTAGAAAGGAAAAGAAACTTTTCCTTGCTTGAGTCATCCAAATCGCTCTAACATATGACAACTTTTTGGCCAACTTTCTTTCTTTTTACCTATTTCTCTACATCATCATCATCATAAGGTCGTCAGTCCTAAGACTGGTTGGACGCGCACCTCTACTCTTTCCTATCCTGAACTAATCTTGCATTTCCCTAAAATTAGAACATCCCACATCCTTAACTATTTCCGAACAGTAATCTAATCTAGGTCTACCTCTACCCCTCCTAACTCCCGTTTCTGCCTCTAATATGTCTCTGACTTGACCTTCATGCCCGAGAAGATGTCCTACCAACATATCTCGCCTATTTCTTATTGACTTCCATAGAGAGTCCTCTGTTCTCCTATTCCTTCTAATACCTCTTCATTTCTAACCTTCTCCATCCACGGTATCCTCATTATTCGCCTGTAAGTCCAAATAAAAAAGGATATTCTTCTGAAGCGCGCAGAATGGATCCTTAATCGTTGGCCGTAAATTGCGTCTCCGCCAATGATTCGGTTGCGGTTTGGTGATACTATAATCTGCAGCTTATTTATGAAGGTAAGACTACCAAGAATCAAACGAGTGAGTCCTGCTTTTATTATGTAATGCACGTCCCATGCCGCAGATGCCGTTTGTCTTTTGAATGGGCCGACGCTTGTCGCCATAACTCAAACTCCTTCGACTGCGTTTTTCGGCGGCGAGGATTCAACAGTGCATTTCCTGCTGTCGGTAAATAATAGGTCGCTATTGTGCACTTCCTCAAGGACCCGATCATAAATTTTGCTTGAGGATACTTTATGAGTTTTTGCTCGAATAATCTCATCTAATAAATGGCGACATTCTTTGTTGTTGTTGACTTTTGTGATCTTTAAGGTTACACTTGCGGCTACAGCAAGGATAAAGAGCACGCGGATCTATTCCCACACATGCCAGAATCCATGTTCTCGTTGACGTTTTTAATTAATAATGATCGTAATCGACAACAGTTCCTTTAGATCGCCTCCTCATTCGTCGCCTACGAAACATGTGTAACAACAAAAGTTTCGCAACACATACATCCATATGTGTGCGTGTATGTGTATGTTGGTCGCCACCACCACCACATATTACTTCGTCCGCTTCCGCTGCTGGAAGGAACGTGACGAAGTCCGGAAATTCCACGTAGAGGGCACTAATTCGGGCGATAAAAAAGAGCAAGCCACTCTCTTTCCGCTGCGGTCGGGGGTGTCAAAGCTGCCCGGCAGTGGGGATGAAGCGACGCGTGACGTCAGATTTGGGTTAGCGCGCCTGTCGCCAATTGTGTCGGCGCGTCAGTCATGCTTGCGACTGCCGAGAGAAAGAACCACTATCGCTTCAATCACTGTTGGCGGTGATTGTGTGTCGGTACGAGTAAGAGATCGACTTTGAAAGCTCAGACTTCTTATTAGTATTGTATCGTCTCTTACGAACGAAAGCGAGTACACGCTATTCGAAAAAGATCGAGTAATTTTAGAAAAAAACTTTCAGTGTGATTCCTCAATTCTTCAGAGGTATACTGTTTAGTGCTAAGTTGTTAGTTTTGTGGATTACGTTACTTTGTGCCTCAAGATGCTCTCAAGTAATCAATATTTGAAACCGGAGTACCTTACACCTTTACCTACTACGGTAAGTAACCATCGCAAAGATGATTGTCTAAAAAGTTGTATTTAACCATCTCATATGATCATGAGATACTATAGTATAAGTTAAGACTGAAGAGATCAAAGTCATTAAAATTAAACCATTGCTAAAAGTACCCATTTGAAATGCCAGGACCAGGAAATCATCAGAATACTGAGGTCGATTTATTTTCATGTAATGCGATGTAACAGGCGCGCAAGAAAATAAGTAGGTACGCTCGTCCATTTACAGTTTGCATAATCAAAATAAAGAAAGTCTGTTGAAAGCTAAAAAGAAAACGAATTGGGAAGAATCTTGTTTTTCATCAATAGATATCAATGAGGCAGGAAAACTGAGATGAAGAGCAACCTTGCTTTCAAGCATCAGTTTTCATCAATACATTAACAGAAAGTTTTCATTTCATCACCTGTTAACTTTTCACTATCAGTTTTGCGTTTTCGTACTTAAGTCAATTTCATCATGTAACTCCTGGTCTAAACAAAAACCAAGAAATCCATTAAATGCTTTAGCCAGCTATTGCGAAATGACATAACATTTCGGCATGATTTTTAAATTGGCTAAGTAATTCATTCCAAAGGAGCTTTCTATATTTCTTATGGCTCATGTTACCAATGTAAACGCTTTAGCAATTTTGTGTTGTTCTGTTGAAAAGTTAACCATGTTATTGGCATTGTGTGGTACGGACTTTTTCAACATATTTTTACATCATTGAACGTAATATGGTTGATTGATTTGTGAAACACGAGCCAAATTAATCCACTTGTGCACGATGTGACTACAATCAGCTTCCTCACAAAGGTTTACAACATTTTGCAATGTCATCGATTTTAACATTGATTTCGTTAATAAACAGGTTCATCTCAAAAGCCGTAGATCATTCTTAAAGGATATTTTTTTGTAGGACATTTGTAGATGTTTTTTGTTTTTAACATTGGCTAATATTTATGTGCAGATATATATGTGAAACTAATTTTGTAGAAACTTGGTAATAGGTAAGTAGTCAGTCGTTATTTTAAAGGTAGTTTAGTAGGTAATTATACCTGCTACTGCTGACGGTAATAACACGCAGGTAGCAGTTCTTATTGAATTAATATCCTTACTTAAAATTACGACCGGCCGCCTAAGCTTATTAAGATTTCTAATTACCTATGCGCGGTTTATTTTACGGCTGAAATGTTTAATGTAGGCACTGGCAAGAAAACTACAAATCATTCAAAAAAATCGACCTCCCCTCGTTCGAATGCGTTAAAAACAAAAGGTGCTAACTTTTAAATTGGGTCATACCGCTCGTTAGCACAAAGTTATGGTTTATTGTACCGATTAAGGAAGTTTTAATGGATCCCCCATGGTTTCGACTAATTATTTCGTTTTCTTGCTTACCTCAATTAGATACATAAACACTCGATAATTAAGATTATAGTTCACCTTGTAGCGCTTTATTTTGAAATCAATAGTAAACTTCTAATTTATATCTTATTACTTTTGAGATCGACAATCACATAATTAAACACGAGACGCAGATTTAGGATATGACAACAGTCACAAGATTAAAATTATTAAGTACCATTTATTTTGTTTGGATGTTAAACAAACATTTCTATTACTTATGTGTAATTTATAATACTTTACAAACGTTGGAGCAGGATTCCTAATAATCTCCGTTTTATCACACCTGCTGCCTAATTTTTTATCCAATCGTTACGATCATTTATTTTTCTCTGTTGTATGCCACACATTAATATCTTTCACTATTCGAAAATTCCTGTATGAGTTTCAAAAGTTAACTATCTAGAATCAGAATTTTAATGCTGGTGACATCTTTCGAAGTACCGTTTTGAAATTCATTCAATTCTAGTTCGGAAAGCATCATCAATGGTTGCAAGTAAACGAAGTGTCTCAATGTCATAATGTTATTTCGAGGAAACTGTCTCAATGTCACCACGCGCGCTATAAATTATCAGGACGCCAGACCATGTTATCCAATCAATAGCTAAACTACATTGTAGCGTTTCTCTGCAGCTGTCATAAACCTTTTGAAAGATGTCCCCGCCTGCTGATTATTATAGAAAGTTGAATGCAGTCCAAGTTGTCGTCAAATATATTAATTTAATGTAATAACAGACACGGGATGTTTCGGTCCTCCAACATGTTTTTACTAATAACTTCATAAAGTGGCTAGCAAACTTCTTTACAGCGAAATAAATTTAGAACAAGTGACACTTTTGGCCCACGTTCAAGTGACTTTGAAAATATTGACCCACTAAACGGACATAAGGTGGGCGTATGAATTATATAAAAGCGCCATTAATTGTTATATTGCAATGTGGGAGATGATACTCTTAATTGCTCTTGACTTTCGAAATGTTCATTAATTTTGTTTCTTTTGTTACAGTTGGATGCCAAGAAGAGTCCGCTGGCTCTCCTTGCCCAAACATGCAGTCAAATTGGGGCAGACTCCCCCAACAGCAAGTTGTTGCAGAATGCATCAGAGAAGAGCAAAGGCGGCAAATCCTCCTCCTCTTCTGAATCTCTTAAATTGAAATCACCGAATTCTTCAAGCGAGAGTCCAATCAAATCCAGTTTCAAACCGTATGAAATGAATTTTTCAAGAGAAAAGACCCAATCTCCGGACGATCGTGCCAGTTCCGGTTCAAGTGCAAATAGAGTGCGAACTCCCGTTGTTAAAAACAGTATCTCTAACAATCGATGTAACAGTAATCAAAGCAGTCACTCGAATCACTCCCCGCGAAATTCGCCGGTAGTGTCCGAACGTAAAACCCCCAGTGCGGAATCAATAAACGTTTCTAGGGACGAAAATAATTTATCCAGAAACAGTGACAGAGTTCCAACTCCACAACAAACAGCTACATCTTCGTCCGGCAAATCCACGCTCCCGACAGTTACTTCTCCTACAATGACCGATCCGGCAATAAAAGACATGCCCCTGGGGACGTTTAAACCTGGTGCACCTCCCACAACAAGTGCTTTTATCGGTGGATATCCCATACCCGGTTTTCCCTTACCACTAGATTTATTGTCTACTTATCCTGGTTTAAAAGCAGGTCCTTTAGCACCTTATTTCAGTTACGCCAGAATGAAGGGCGCTCTAGGTTCAGAGCCTCTTCTGTCTACTTGTAGAGATCCCTATTGCACTGGATGTAGCCTCAATTCACACTTGTTACCTACATCGACAGCCAGTGGAAAGACGTCTTCGACTTGTCCCTCAGGGTGCAGCCAGTGTGAGCATGCAATGCCAAAGACTTCTGTCGGATACAACCCGGCAGCTGCAGCTTACGCTCATGCACAGTTGGCTGCTTTAGCCGCGGCATCGACGCTTCCATACATCTGTAACTGGATAGCTGGAGACGCGAGTTACTGCGGAAAACGTTTCGCTAGCTCCGAAGAACTTCTGCAGCATTTAAGAACTCACACAAGTATTGGAGGTGCCAATGCTGAGTCAGCGTCAGCGTTGCCTTTCCTGAATTCAGCTAATCTACCACCTACGCATCCCCTGTTTCATCGGACGTATCCGACACCCCCTTTGAGTCCTTTGGCTACTGCCAGGTATCATCCTTACTCAAAACCGTCACTTCTTCCTCCATCTTTAAGCTCTTCTTCGTTAACTAGCTTCCCTATCGCACATCCAGGGTTAACACCGTATCTATCCGCTTACTCCCTCTATGGTCCGCGAATTGGAACGAGTCCAGGGATGCATCCGTAGGGAAGAAGAAGGGAGGAAGAGTGAGCTGTGCATGATATTACTCTAGTCCAAAAGAAATCGACTATTACTTATACCTAAGCATTTGAAAAGGATATACGAAAGAAAGACTGTTGTCACTCGAATTTTCGTGGTTTGTGTGATATTATGTAAATATAATATATGAAGTTGTGGCAAGGTGTTCTGACTGCTTTTATTAAATTATTTAAACGTTATCAAAAGTGCTTCTGAATGCGTTAATTAAGTTAATTTCTAGTTAATTGTTTGCTGTAACGCAACTGTTATTTCTTGTAATTTCTCTGGTGAATTAAAACAATATATTTCGTTTGTACATTAAAAATTAATTTGTTGTTGGTGGATCTCTATACACATTATACGATATAATCAAACGAATATGTAAGATAATTTTATATTCTATTTTCTTGATGTCTAAAAGGCTGATTAAAACGTCATGTGCCTGTTGCATTGAAGATCATTTAGTGCTACCGTTTTACATTCCACAATAAAAAAAAAAAAGAATTTAAATGGTGGATGATGTATATCGACTTGTAAGTTGGAACACCTTGAAAGTAAGTTAAATCCAAAAATTGAAAGACATCATAAAAATGTACATACTGTTAACTTACGTTAGTTAAGTTCATTACTTACTAATGAAGAAGACGTACAGTCGGGAGTAAAAGTAAACAACTGTTTCTTGAAGCAGTTCATTCTGATTAGTTACAAATATTAAGTAATTTTTTGAAATGTTGATACTGACAATGTGATAATTTTGGACAAAAAAGATTTACTTTTCTGCCAGACTGTTCCAACAAACGCTACTAGGTGTTTCAATTTCGTTATAAAAATAAATTTTACTCACTTATTTCTAGTGTACAACCTGGAGGAAGTTTTATACAATCAATTGATTTACTGATTTAAGCGTATGATTGGATGTAGGTACCTCATGTCGTTTTTGTTTACAGCAGGGTCAGTCTGACCTCAGCTTAATAAATTTGTCCACATTCGGTTTGAAGTTATTATGCAACCAAAATTTACATAATCACCATGTAAGTGGCAATAAAGTTCTTAAGTTGTTTATCATCGTAATGTGTTGGAACGTTATTAAAATTTGAAATTTAAATAAAACTGCTATTTTATTCCACATTGCGTTTTATTTATGACAGATTTAGGCGCAGTCGAAGGAAGATGGCCAGACACACGTATGTCTAATATACGTACGGTTGGTTATGGGTAGTAGGTACGGCACCACTGTGACCTTTTAACGGCACCGGCGACCATATGGATCGGATTATTAAAAGGCCTACGTCGTTACGGTCAGAAAATCGTAAACACACCTGTATTCGAGCCATTGGTGTTTATTAAAAACTATCACACTGTAATTTCGAATTGAAATGGGCATAATCAACACTAAGTTTACCATGTAGTGGTGCAACGTGACGCAAATGTTTTCTTAATATCCCTTAGACTCATTTATTTCGTAAGATATTGAAGACATGTTGCACATCTCATCACAATATTATTTTGTGGGTAAATTATTTCATTTACTTTCACTCTATTAGTAAATTATTTTTTTAAACATTGCTGTGTCCTTTTCATTATAGTCCTAAAGGGTATTGTAGCGCAAATATATTTTTTATAAATACATGTTTTAGTAGAATTTTTAAAAACCAGTAACAAAAAAATTTTTTTTAATTTTTACTATTACAATTTCAAACTGGTGTTGGTTTTCTTTTCTGGTAGAATTATTCACCGCACTGCTGGGCACTCGGCGTTATTATCCGGTACCCAGCCGGATACAAAAATAAGTACCAGAATCGCCTAGCGTAGGGTCCAGCCGAGGTCCTGTTGTGAGTGATATATATATACGATACAGGTACCTATCATTATCAACCGAGCGGCATGGCCTAGAGGTTTAGACCATTGCTTAGCATTCGGGAGGACGCCGGTTCGATTCCGGGTCCATCTACCTTGGCCCAAGTCTTTCTATGGTTTCCTTGGATTACTTAGGCAAATGCTGAGGCAGTAATATTCCACGGATAATCTTTCACTCTCTTCTGTCTTCATTTCGTCCGTCTCATCTTTCTCACCCGAACCACCACCCACCCATTCCCACGATTCCTGAAAGCAGGCTGGCCTTCCGCCCTACCTTCCGGCGTAGTCCAGAGGGACTGCCCACCCACCAGCATTACTGGCTGGAGGAAATGAGAAACCCAAAGTTTTTTTTCCTATCATCATCATAAAATCGTCAGTCCTAAGACCGGTTGGTAACGCATCTCCACTCTTTCCTATCCTGAGCTAATCTTCCCATTTTCCTAAAACTAGAACAACCCACACCCTTTACTATTTGCGAAAACAGAAATCTAATCTAGGTCTACCTCTGCCCCTCGTAACTCCCGCTTTTCCCCTAATATGTCTCTGACTAGACTTTCATACGTGAGAAGGTGTTCTACCAACCTATCGCGCTTATTTCTTATTGACTTCCATAGAGTCCTCTGTTCTCTTATTCTTTCTAATACCTCTTCATTTCTAACCTTTTCTATCCACGGTATCCTCATCATTCGCCTGTAATACCACATTTTGAACGCTTCTAACCTTTTCTTTTCCGACGCGACCACTGTTTCGCACCCGTACAAGGCCGCACTCCAAAATATATCTTTAAGAACCTTTTTCTTGTTATTGAAGGCGACACGAACCTGCGTTATCCTCTGCTTTATATCCCTACTACTCCTTCCGTCCTGACTTATTATCTGACTTCCTAGATACTTCAAATCAGCCACTTTATATTCGCTCTTTCCCTACTTTTTCTTCCCTTGCATACCAGTACTTTTGTTTTACTTTTATTTATTTTGATACAGTACTGTTTTATCAGTACCGCATCCTATTTATTTAAAGCTATCCTAACTCCTCCTTGCTAGATGCTAATACTGCCCCTGTATATCTATCCCTACAGTTGTACTGTCTTTAATGATGACCTATATCATTTAATTATTAACAATTGTCCTATCTTGACACAATTATTACCTTGTCTCTTGTCTTATAAAATATTCAAGAATTTTATTGTTGGTTGGTAATTTCCACAATAACATGTTACTCACCTTATTGTAATGTTGTTTTTTTTTTATTTTGGTTCGAGCCTGTGTAGTCATTATTTTAAATTCATTACCTACGAAGAATAAAGGTTGTACTGCATTTGTATTCTGTTGATGTACAAAACATTTTTTTTGATCGCACCCTATTGTTCTTTTTAAACAAATTTGTAGTTGTTGTCCTGAAAACAGCTAATTCTATACATTAACCGCATGCTCGGTGTTGATAGTAACTCGGCATTAATTATACGTTGCACAACAAAGTAAATTTCATTAATTATTTATAATCTAGTCCATTAATCATGCATTTTTACGTGCGAGTACTTTTTCTTTTCGTAACTAATGATTTATTACAATGTAAATAATCTAATAAAATGCAAATTAACGGTTTGCAAATAGTTGCGGCTTTGTAGTAAATTACCCACAGGAAAGCCTTCCGACATTTCTTAAAAAATTATAATAAATTATTTCAGCACTGCCACAAAAATAGACGCTGACGTTAATAAGCAGAATTGACTCCAAGTCTTCAGAAACTTACTAACGGTAATTGCTGTTTATAATTTGCTACTGTAATTATTACCCAAAAAGGAGAAAATTATGATTATTATTTATTAAATCTTTTCGATCTTTCACATGGACAGTCGTTATTAATGTTCCTTTTTTATATGATCAGTAGCAAATGGTTTAATTGATGGATTCGTTTACACCATCTTTTTTATATTTTTTTACGAGAAATATAATGTTGATTGTAGCTAAAATTTACTGTGCTTTTTAGACGCGCACACAGAAAGAAATATATATCACATGTGTTGGTACGTACACTGTCAAGTGAAACACATTTATCACGACTTAATTTGTTTTATCTGGGACCTATTAAACTACAAGGCATTCCTTGAAGCAATTTATCCAACTCGAGAGGCATTTATGAAAAATATACACGGTGTCCACAAAATATTGTAAGAAAAATTGGTTTTCTTTAAGCAGCGGGAATATTCTACAGGTTGCTCAACTTCATGTGGTTATGGTCAGCAAAGCAAGAGTGCTCTAACTGGTTTAAGAATATGACGCAGAGTTTTCCGATGAATCTGTTGGTGTAGGGTAGGTACTCTTTCTTTACTCATTCCGGTGGTAATAACCCCTTTACCATAAAAAGTTCGTGGCGGTATAACCCCCATAACTTTTTATGGGGGTTCAAAGTTAATAAATATGCCAATTTTTATACATTTCTAGGCATGTAAATATTTATATAGTCATTCTTAAACAATATTCAAAGGTAAAACTAATGAAAAATACATAAAAATATTGAGAAAGTTACATAAAACGTTATTTAAATATCTTGATCAATAGGGTAGGTTAGGGTAGGTTATCGGGTTTTGTTCAAGTGACCACCCTCTTTCGATCCCCCACCTCCACCCGCTTGAATTTGAATTATAGTGTATGAAAATTGTCAAAATAATCATCTTTCAATCCTCATAACTTTTGATGAGGGTGAGACCGCTGCAAATTTTTTATGGGGTTTTACTCAGGTGATTACCCTCTTTCGATCCCCCCTACCCTCACTCCGAATGGGGTGGGGGGCCATCATCTAACCCCCATAACTTTTCATGGGGGTGAGACCGCCACGAACTTTTTATGGTACAGTGGTGGGGGAGACCTCCTCTTTCGATCCCACCTACCCCGCCATCATCTAGACCTTTACCCATGATATTTACTTACGTTAACTTTAAATGCTGAAATTTTCTGTCATACATGAGAACTCGTCATGACTTTTAAAGAAAATAGTGTCGATAGTTGTAGAGTTATTAAAACTCAGGAATTTCCCTTCTTCTGATGCATGAACTGACCCTTCCAACAATACATAAATTGACCCTTCCACCAACGCATAAATTGAGCTTTTAGCGAAGAAAACAGGTACTTGAAGAAGTAAAAAATATCGAAAAAAAAATTAGTTTGTCTCTATATTTCAACCTTGTGTTATCCAAACATAGGAGCAATGAACACTCATCTACTCCTAAGACATTCTTGTAGATACCTTTTTTGAAACAGTGATAAAGTCTTGTCTATTTGGTCTTGGTGTTGCATATTTGGTATTGATCTTGTTGATTCGATCTTAGTGTTGGTCTTGCTCACATAAAGACATACTTAGTTGTTTTGCAAGACCAATACCAAGACTAATTTTGCTCATCACCAATTTCCGGTAAAATGTTTCAGACACTGCGTATAGCGAATTTCACGATTGACAATAAAACATCTGGACAGTTGGACGGTTTTGCCAAAAAATTAAGCAACACTTTTCGTACGCGACGAAGTGGATACACGGTCGTAAAAGATCCCACTATAAATAAGTAAATTATAGTTGTTGTTGGAAAGTTCAAATATAAATTCCGCGAGAGATGAAGCCCAGAAGTCGTAATGCCGTTTCGTAGTTATAGACTAATAGAAATGCCAACGAGAATGGAAATAAATTACGTTAATGTATGGTAAACATTCATATATGTAAGCGAAGGAATCATAAATATGTCACGACTGTTGTCAAGTAAATGCCGATAAATGTGTTCTTGGGAAACGATCCAAGGCAGCTGGGACTACTAAACGTCACACGAGAACGAGACGGTAAACCGCGTTTCAATGTTACAAGAAAGGCTCTGGTCTATTCCGCGTGTAGAAAATCGTTCTATGGATAGCTAAAAGAACAGAAGCAGCAGCTGCGGTAGCTGATCTATTCCAGGAGAAGATAGATGACACTGTCAACTCGTTAGTTTGTTCCAATTATTTTTGTTTTATGGGCGATGAAATCTGAAAATTTAGAGTTTAATTTATGGCCAGTTTAATTTCTTTCTCTGCCTTTTAATGATCTTATTTTGGGACGTCGCAAGGTAAACAGGATTCCGTGGGTGCGATGTTTTTTCCGAAGGAAATCGGGGAACAACTGTCACGCTTTTTAACACTGTCGAATACGAACATTTACGACTAATTTTATGCTGTTTTCAGAGCTGTTTGTAGCAGTAATGTCAAATATAAAATGACCAACCCCTCAATAAAAATAAATAAGTCTCTATCATCATAAAAATTGTAGATAAAACTTGTCATGTCATCTAAAATTTGAAATTGCAAACGCCTTCTCTTCATTTACATGTCTAGTTTGGTATTAAGAGTAATTAGATTTCTGGGGAAAGCGAGAAACCTAAATTAGGATTCCTTTAGGCCAGAAAAGGACCAGTTTACGATTAAATTCCAAACATAAGAAGTTTACATATCCTGCAACATTAAACTCACCTGTATCCTTGAATGCCCACAAGGGAACTGGCAGTTCATGATGAAGTGGAAGTCTAGAAGAAATAAAAAACAAAATTAGCTGAGTTGAATGCAATTTGCTGACTCGTTCAAATTCACGACTTTATTTTGGCAAGTGTGAGGGTAGAGGAAAATGGTGCAAGGACGAAATAGTGTACATAAACCGCTGTGCAGCCCCTTTTAGTAACATACAAAAGATACCGCAACGAGGTATACCAAAATTTTAGAAAACTCATTCGTTCTACTGGTTAGAAGCGTTCGAAATGTGTTTTTTTAGGCGAATGATGAGGATACCGTGGATAGAGAACGTTAGAAAGGAAGAGGTAGTAGAAAGAATAGGAGAACAGAGGACTCTGGAAGTCAATAAGAAATGGGCGAGATAGGTTAGTACGACAGGCGTGAAGGTCTGGTCAGAGACATATTAGAGGCAGAAACGGGAGTTAGAAAAGGTAGAGGTAGACCTAGATTAGACTACTGTTGGCAAATAGTTAAGGATGTGGGATGTTCTAGTTTTAGGGAAATGCGAAGATTAGCTCAGGATTGGAAAGAGTGGAAGTGCGTGTTCAACCAGTTTAAGGACTGACGACCTTATGATGATGATGACTGCTTAGTACAGGATGACTGCTAAAAACTGAGAGATGTTGTGTATAGAAGGTGGAACAGAAATAAGTAAGGAGCTTGCAGGAGGCGATAAAGTACTATAAAACAAGAAAAGTAAATGTAACTGAAAGTACATGTAAGTTCTATTCCGGATCTGGTAAATAAATACGACCCGCAACGCCGTACTCAATAACCTGGTACCTAATTACCAGCCTCAGTGTGGTATTTGTCTTGTATTTTCTGCTTCTTTCTTTTGTGTTGTTGCCTATATTGTAATTATTTAATTTATATTATTGTGCCTTAAATTTTTTTTGCCCTGAACTCACCATGCGATTGTTTATTGCATCTAGTTTACATACACCCTCCAAGGCGTATACTTCTATCAGCAATTAAAATAAATTAAAGCAAAGTAAGTAAATCACGTAATTTATTGAATTTTCCCATGAGTATATTTAAGCAATACATTAAGTCTTTTTTGTGGTGTGATGTGGTGCAGCGTCTAGTATAATTTAAGTTCAACATTTGTTGCTACATGGTAATAGATAATAATAACTCCTTCTCCCGTGATTACAGTACGTGAAAGTGAAAATTACATCTGTCACTTTCTCATTTCTAATAACACAGTAGAGCGTTAATCAAAAATCGTCGGCTCTAATGGTTATTCGAGCGAAGTCGAGCGGGCAATCTGTACGAACCTACGACTCGACGAGGACGCGGCCGGCGCCGCGCCGCCGTTCCATCGCGATCCAAGTGGGCAGAGATAAATAATACCTTGTGTTTAATTAATTCCGACAAAAAGGCAGCCGTCAACTGTAATAGATTAATTTAATGAAGGTGCTGCCTTATGTGTTATTACAACGAGCAGGGTATAATTTATTTCTTAATGCTAATGCTTTCAGGATTTTACTTGGTGTTATAACGATGTATTTCCGACTAGAACGTAGTCATAGTAACAAAAAAAAATGAGTATTTGTTTTTAACAACCATTTGTTATCAAGCACACTGATGCTATCATCGAAAAGAAGCATTGATTCATTATTTACTCTTTTATAATCACGACGAGCATCTAAGTATAGACAATATTTGTATTCTATTCCAAGATCGGCAGGTAAATCAAATATGAGACCGCGAGATCATTTATTAGGAGCACACACGTTAGGGCAAAACATTTAAAATGGATAAAATGCTGTCACATTCGGTGAACTGCTGAAATGACCATTGACTTCCAATAAAAACTTTTGGGTGTTTCATTCCTACCAGCCAGTAATGCTGGTGGGCGGGCAGTCCCTCCGGACTACGCCGGAAAGTAGGGCGGAAGGCCCTCTTCAGCCTGCTTTCAGGAGTCGTGAGAATGGGTGGGTGGTGGTTCGGGTAAGAAAGATGAGATGGACGAAATGAATACAGAAGAGAATGAAATATTATCTGTGGAATACTACTGCCTCAGCATTTGCCTAAGTGATCCAAGGAAACCACAGAAAAACACTACCCAATCGTATGGACGGCTGGGTGTCTATTGAAGATTTCCCCTTTTCCAAGAAAACAAAAAAAAAAACTCATAGGTATATTTCCTCGTTGAGTGTTGATAACAACGCAAGAAATAACTATCAATTTAATTTATTACTGTTCAATATAAAGACCACAAAGGATAGCGAAGGGTTGAGTGGCCTTTAACAAAAAGAAGTCACGTTTATACTCCAGAACGATAAGTTTAGAAATTCTAAAAGGATCGGTAAAGTTTCAAGCGTTCGAAATTTGGTGTTACAGGCGAATTATGTGGATACCGTGGAATAGAGAAGGTTAGAAAGGATGAGGTATTGAGATAGGTTAGTAGAACACCATCTCATGCATGAAGAGGGTATGAATAGGGTTAGACGACTAGGATTTGGGATGTTCTAGTTTTAAGAAAATGCGAAGGTTAGGACAGAGCAGCGGTGTATGTCCAACCAGTCTTAAGGCTAATGACCCACATTATGACAATCATGATGATGAAATATGAAGAGAATTGATGTCACAAATTTTTAAAAATGATTCATTCAAGTTCTGGGTTTTGGGCTCTCCGCTCATTTTCCACTAAAGTAATAAAAAATAAATGTATGACTACAAATCAGTAATGACTACAAAATCCTCAGAAATTGTTCACTTTGAATACCGTGCCTCCAATACAAGTATATAATATAATGGATTAAATCGATAACAATTCGTGTATCCACACGGAAAAAAAGGTTTTTCAAAATCCTCATCCGTTACTTTAAATTGTACCCACTCCACTACACGTTTTGAAGCTTGATCTCGTTCCAATCCCATTTTATTTCGTTCGGTGTCCGTTTTTCTACAACCCGGGGTTACAATCAATGGCCAATATGATTGAGTTTCACGAGCGTGCGGTCTCATATTTTCCACGAAAATAACTTCGGAAACTTTAAGAGACTTTTTACAGCACTTTGCGGCTGACCCCGGCTCGCTTTTGAATTGAAGGTTTTGAGAAGGGAATATAGTGGTTTCTCCCCAAGGCGCCATTTTCTAAAATCACCATGTAGCAACGAACCATCGAAATTATAGGCTTGCAGTTTTAAACAGCACTTCCACGACCGTCAGTGAAAAGCACGTAAACTCGACCTTCTGGACAATTTAAAAACAAAATTGAAAACTATGAACCTACCAATTAATTTGTAAGCCCATTAATTTAAGTTTTGAAACAGATGACAATCAATATTACTTAATACGTAGCCAATGTTATGTTTTAACCAGTGACAACTCGTATAAAAGGTGAATAATTCCAATATTGCGAAAGGTGTAACACAGGAACACCTACCCAATCCTTATAAGTTTCGTCGACACTGTACAGTTTATGTAAAGGAATTTACAAAAACAAAAAAAAAACTTATGATTGTTTCATTCCCACCAGCCAGTAATGCTAGTGGGCGGGCAGTACATCCGGACTACGCCGGAAGGCCCTCCTAAGCCTCCTTTCAGGAATCGTGGGAATGGGTAGGTGGTGGTTCGGGTGAGAAAGATGAGACGGACGAAATGAAGACAGAAGAGTATGAAAGATTATCTGTGAAATATTACTGCCCCAGCATTTGCCTAAGTGATCCAAGAAAACCACAGAAAAGCTTGGACCAAGGCAGACGAACCCGGAATCGAACCGGCGTCCTCCCAAATGTTAAACTTCCATCCTGATTTATCTGACAAATCCTAGATTCCGAAAATCAGCCACTTCTTCTAATTTACTCGACATACAGTGCATTTAAAAACATTTTCTAAACGAACCAAAAGAATGGGTAGATTTAGATCTACTACACCTTCTTCGTCATCACTCATTTTGCGAGATGATGATTCGATCTTGGAAATTGGGTAGTTAATGATATTCTTCGTGAGTGTTCGGCACTTTGATTTAAAATTAAATTAAGGAGTATGCTGAAGAGGCCACGCATTGGAGTCTTTCTTGTGGGCTTTACCGAGTCCAGCAATGGTTATTACCTGCTTAAACAGATTACTGTAATTTTGAGACGACGCCTTGCCGACAAATAATACAGGGAAGATATTTCGTTGTTATTTCGGCGGGCACAACACAATTGCAGCCGCAAACACGGAGCATAATTTCCGCTGAAGACTTTAACGAACGACTGAAGAGATTAAGGGCACATATCAATTGGTTAGATCCACTTCATCATAACTTTGTGTTTTCGAACGACGATTTCACAACTTATGAATCGCCTTTCCTAAATTATATCTGAGAAGAAGAGTCTGCAGTTGGATCAAACTCGTACAATGGGCTGGGCAACTGCCTTGGCATAATAATAATATTCGATCTTACCGTGCGGGTATTATTCTACCACTTTTGATAAACCGTGGAATAATAACGATAAATTTTCATTATAAAAACTGTAATCGTAGTGGATATTACTGCGTTGTAATGTCGCGTATACATGTATGTAGTAAACGTGGTTTTTATCCATCCAAAGTGCGGGCTAAACATTCCGGCCAGTCCGTTAATGCTCAACCACCCCGGGCAACCAATACACAATCTCCTCAAGAACAACTATAACAAAAGAACAAGATGTTTTTTTATAAATGGATAATCAACAGAAGTTCAAATGCGCTTGAATCGCTACACTGTATAATCTTATATCAAGAGGGAATTTGGGAATTATGGCATACTTTATGATTTTAGCCAATTATGTTGTAACCGAGCTCAAGCGACCATTAATTCTTTAAATATGCTTCATACGTTTACTTAGAAATAATATTTAATTAGAAAAAGTGACCGTTTCCATTCGGTGTTTAAGAAGCCATATAGAAATAGCAATAGAGTTATAAAACAAAGGATAACGCAGGGTCGAGTAGGGAACAACAGGAATGGGGTGTTACTGGCGAATGATGAGGATACCATGTAGAAGGTTGGAAATGAGAAGGTATTAGAAAAAAGTAGAAC